TGTTACGGCTAGCCGTTAGTTTTGCGCCGCGATGCCTTTTGAGACCCGCGCCCTCTCGGGCACCTCTCAGACTTGGGAGTTTGGAGAAAGAAATGCGTTGCGCCCTTTGGCTGTCGCGTATCAAAGGTGACTGGCTTTCATAAAAGAGCCTGCACAGCGTTTCTGCGTCGGGCTGGTTTACAGAAGAAAAAAAATACCTGAAGACAAGACGTGCCCGCTTGGTTGTGTCCTGTTTAGCTGCCGGTGGTCTATTTTCCTTCCGTGAGGAGGCGCCGCAGCGGCTTGCGTGGCTGTGGGAAGGACCCCAGTGCTCGCTCGCAGCCGTGGCCCCTCGGAGCGGCGCATGGTGGAGGCACATCTCGATCCCCTGGGGGTGGTCCCCGCTGCGAGGACTTCGTGGGGCTGGTGTTTGGTACTCTCACCATTGGTACTAGCAGTGTATATTCTTGTCCTAGTTCATTCATAACTTTGGAAGAAAAAGGGTTGTTACCTGTTGGAGCGTTTTTTGTGAATTGTCTGCCACCTGCCATGCTTCTAAGGCATTCGTTTTTATAGGGAAGTTAGTATTTGTAGCTCTGGTTGATTTTTGCATTTATATAATAAAATGTAAATAACATTTGAGGTGAAGTTTTTTTTTTTCACTTGATCTGGCTTTCACTGGTATTATTGTGCCTTGCCATTCACTACCTTGTTTCCTATAGGATGTTCCTATTTATTATCACTTTGTTACATGCATACTCGGTATGTAAATCGTCTTGGCTAGAAACCTCATTTAGTAGCTAGGCATGTAATTGGAATCCTTTTTTCTTTACCAGATGGCTCTGTGATCCTACACTGTATGCAGGATGAGGCAGTCTTTCACCTTACTCCTCCGAGTTGGTTGAAATTTCACTTCAAATCGGTGCTAGCAAAGCTTAGCTTATGTAGTGAGGTGGTTTCTAACTCCTCTTCGAGGCCCCTTCTTGGCACCCAAAAAATCCCTGGAGCTGCAACGTTGTGAGTCGGAGAACTGGGAGGGGAGAGAGCCTGTACAATGGGTTTTTTTCCATATTTCACTGCATTAAGTACACCAGGCTTGATTAACACAGATTTCTTGGGGCGGACAACAGGTGTCAGTAGTGGCTCACTTATATTTAGTTTCCTCTTCCCAGCCCTAAGATTCCAATGCTGTAAATACGGGGAGTAGGAACAGGAGCTCAGATACAGGGTTCTAAAAAGGTGGAAGGCCTCATGGTGACTGAAGGGATAGGGAGAAAAAGGTGTGGACTGTCAGGCCATTCTGAAATACGCATGTTCTGAAATGATAGTGGTGTTTCTTTTCCTCTCAGTTACACTGAGACTTGGGTCTGTGATTCAGGGAAGAAAAATCTTTGCAGATGAAGGTAGGGAATGGAAGAGAAAAAAGATGGTACAGATGGATGGCTTTGTGTTTCCATTCAGCTTGAGTATCTGCAGCACATCTCTGTTTAGTGCTATTATTAAATGTAGGGTGTGAAGGGTACCTATGGGGACATTCCTTGCAGTTGGGAACCTCTGTTGATTTCTGTCTGTGCATTTGCTGTAATGAAATCAGTCCCAGGCCCAAAGAGGATAGGCTCTTTAGCAATGTTCCGATGATAAACTCTTTGCCAGTTTGCATTTGGTAATTCTTGGCCTTCCTGATATTCCAGAAGAGATTCAGAAACACAGAGAGTTTCTTGTGTAAAGATTTTTGTTGGTTTGTTACTATTTTGTGTTTTGACTTGCTATTCAAAACATTAATTGTTGTGAGGTAAAGGTTTTTGATTTGTGGTCTGGAACATAGTGTTACTGAAACCTTGGATAACTGTTACTGAAAAGTGGGTACTTTTCCCAAAAATATTTGAAGACTTAGAAGCAACAAGGAAGCTTTTGCTGCAAACTGGGAAACCTAAACATTTCAGAAGTTGTGAAATCTCTGCTATAATCAAAAAGATAGTTCCAAATGTGAACACTATTCTTTACTTGTATTTACAAACAAAAGCTCAGTTGCCTTTGCTCTTGCTTTTAGTTCTTACAGTTGCTATTTAGAGTTTTTCATTAGATATTAAACAACTCTGATGTTGAGAAAAACTTAAGTAACTAAGGCAGAACTTGTAGGAGTAATGTAGTGAAATTTCCAAAGCAGCAGTCAAGTACCTGAAGAAGACCAAAATCAAAAAGTTTAGCCAAATTCATGTTAGCATGTGTTTTTAAGAAAAATGAATAAATATGGCTGTTGCTCATGTAGTTTTGGATTTCTTTTAGTAGAATCCTTAAATAAATGTCACTTAAAAGCACAGTATGCAGGGGAAGGCAGATGATGTAGTTTATGCAAGGACTGATCTGTTATGGTTTCAGAACAAAGAAATCTTCTGTAGCTTTTTAATGACTGAAATCTTGTAAAATCAAAAGAGCAGAAAAATTTTGAAACAAAGACAGTTGTGAAGGAAGAAGGGAAGAGGATTATTCACAATAGCTGTTTGCTGGTAAGTTCCAAACTGTTCTGTGAAAAATATAAAATCCGTTCTTTTTGTAAAGAATAGTGGCATATTATTAATGTCAGAAGTCACTGTCAGCTAAATGAGTTAGTCTGAATTGATCAAATACTATAATTATGAAACCAAATTTATAGAATCTTGGGGAGGCAGAAAAGTTTGGGAGACCATTTCCAAGATGCAGTGGTGTAAGGTATTCAGTATGCCTGAGCAGTGTACGTAGGCCCAGACCAGCAGAGCACCTAGGGCATGGCAGTGCTCAGGCTGGTTCTTACTTCAAGAAATTTCATAATTTTTCACTACAAACTAATTGAAGAAAATGCAGAGTCTGATATGTAGAATTCTCCCTTCTTCTGTCCTTCCCCAGAATTATCCAACTTTGGAATTGTGTTCTTACACATTCTTTGATCTATTAATCATGTTCTTTTTTTTATAGTGTTGGTGTTTCAACAGGGTTGATCCCAGTCAGCAGCTGCTGATTAGAGCAGTCTTCTGAGAGAGAGTAGCTTGCTTGCTTTGGTTGAGATGTTTCTCCTCTGATGTTCAAGTTAGTGATTTCTTTAATCGTCTATAAACAAAATGGCAAGTGTTGACATTGACCATTAACAGAGATTGCTATGAGTTCTGATTGGTTCTAACATGGTACACATAGATAGGAGCTTTGAGGTGGCTGACAGTTTTGGGTGTATGATTTGTGAATTCCAGGTGAAGGGGAGGTATTACCTTCAGCCCAGGTGGTAGCACCTTCGGCCTTCTTGGGGCTTAAGTTTCTAATTAATTTTACAGGTGAAAGTTTAGGTGCCTGTGGCATCTTTGGCACCTAGCTAGTTAGATGAGGACTATATAGATAACTTTTTTTGGTCTAGGGCCATGTATATACTTCCTAAATTTTACCATAAATGTCTAAATCCTTTATTGAATTTGTCTTTTATTACTTATTGAAATGCTAACTCTTTAAGAGACAGTAGCAACATACAGTCTCTTAGGCAGCTCTGGGTATGCAGATGAAGATTAAAATAAACGTGGCCATGAGCAACTTGGGGAATTTTTGTCTCTATTGCAACAGCCCCCTTTCAGTTAGCACCTCTTCTTTGTGGGCCATTTTTACAACTGGCATGGAAATGCTGCGGCCAAGAGTAGTCTTTCTGGACTGCATTGAAGGGTTTTTGTTTCTAACCTTCTTCTCACCTCCATTTTTTTTGCTTTGGATCTACAGAATATGGAGAATAAGAAGATAAGCAAACAGAAATTTTCACTTGCCTCTGTATTCTTATTGCTAGTCCTTCAGCAAGAAAATCTCAGGGAATTTTAAATTTCTGATTTCAGAATGAACTTGATATTTTATAACACTGTCTCATTTAGCGGCGTAAGAATGCTTCATCAGAGATGGAACCAAATATTCTTGGCTCCAAAACCAACTCTTAAGTATGTTTTGGAGCCCAACACAGTTCATTTTTGGCTCCTGGCAGATTTGCAATTGCCCATTCCATGGCATACA